AAAGAAAAAAAAAAAAAAAATGTATGAAGTTTCTAGTGGCACACTACTTTCACGTCAGTACATCATATTATCTTAATTTTAGTCATTCTGATGGTTGTGTTCTATAATCTCATTATAGTTTTAATCTTCCCTTCCCTGATGATTAATGATGTTGAATATCTTTTTATATGCTTATTGATTGTTTAGATACACTCATTAGTAAAGTGCTTTTATAAAACCTCACCCCATTTTAAAATTTTGTTCTTTGGCCTTTTTATTGATTTCTAGCATTCTTCATATATTCTGTATACAAATCATTTTCAGATGTATGTACCCGGAGTATCTTCTCCCTTTCTGTGAATCACCTACTTAAGTATGATTTCTTTTGATGAGCAGAAGTTCTGTATATCATTAAGGTTACTAAGTGAATTATTTTCCTTTATGATTAGTATTTATGTTTATTAATATTAAAAACAAATTTTCCTACTCCAGGGTCATGAAGATGTTCCCCTCAGTTTTTATTTTTTCCTAGAATGTTGATTATTTTTGTTTTAATATTAATCTGGTGAACCTGATAAAATCTATAATCAACCTCAAGTTAATATCTCTATATGGTATAAGGTAGGATTAGGGTTCATTTATTTTTTACCATATGCATATCCAATTGCTCCAGCATGATTCATAGGAAAAAATCAAAAGCTTTTCATAATAAATTTTGGTGGCAATTTTGTCATAAATCAAATGTCTTTAAGCACATGGGGCTCTTCTAGACTCTAAATTATGTTCCATTGCCCTATACTATGGATGGATAGTATTATTGCTGTAGTGTTATAGTTACCTTGCCATTGTAGGTCATATACACAGTTTGTGTGTGTGTGTGTGTGTGTTGGGGGCTTGTGTCATTGGTATTTAAACTTTCTTTTTGTCTGATATGCTCATTTTAAAGTATTAAATTTACCCCTCAAAATGATATTTTTATTTTTATCCCATAATTTTTTTACACCATAATTTCATTATTTTCATCTTAACATATTTTGTAAGGTTCATTGTAACTTTACCTTGTCCTATAAATTATTTAGTAGTTTGTTATTTTATTAACAAATACTATCATTAATAAGTTATAATTGAGTGTTAATTTACTTCTATAATGGTTAGAGAATATATAGTCTATTATTTTCTAACTGAAATTTAGTTAATATTATTTTATGAACCAGGAAATACTTTATTTTGTTAAATATGTTGTAATTATATGAAAAGAATGTGTGTTTTATAGTTACGTTTGTGGCATTCTATATACATCAAATAAATCAATATGCTTAACAATGTTGTTAAAATCTTTTAATTTCTTACTTTTTTCCCCAAACTGAAGCATGTTAAAAATCTCTAGTCATGAATTTTATTTTGTGTTTTTCTCTCTTTATCTCTGTTCATTTTACTTTCCATAATTTAAAGCTATGTTGTGTGCTTCCAAATTTAGGAGAGTCAAATTAATCTGTTGACTATTTCATTATTGTAAAATGTTCTGCCTTTCATTCATAACACTTCTTGCCGTAAAGTCTCCCTTACCTGACATTAATAGAGACACTCCAGTTTCTTTTTAGTATATATTTTTTATCATCATTGTACTTCCTTTGTCATTTTTGGATTTGGATTTAAAATGTGTTTTGGAGGACCACTCAAATTTTGGCCATATTTTAAAATTTACTTGATTCAATATTAACATAGGCACACTACCTTCCCTTGGGTTAGTTTTTGCATTTTTTTCACTTATTTTACATTCAAGCAAGCTTTTTAAAGTTGTTTCTCATAAAAAAAAAAGCATATTGTTACGTTTCCTTCCATCTTCCCTTCTCTCTGTCCTATCTTTGTCTTTTAATTAGAACATTTAGTCCATTCATATTTAATGTTATTATTGATATAGTTGGGTTTAAGTCTACCATCTTGCTTTGTTTTCTGTTTGTCACATCTGTTCTTCATTCCCTGATTTCTTCTTTCCTGTATTCTTTTGTATTAATCAAGTTCTTGTTTTAGTGTTCTATTTGTCCATCTCTTAGCATTTTGGCAACATGTTTTTCTACCACTCTTCAATAATTTTCTTACTTTTTGAAATTTGTTAAATTATTGTTGACTTATCTTAAACTACTACTTTTATCTCATCACAGATAATTCAAGAAACTTGCAAGAATTTAAATTCATTTACCTCTTTAGTGTTTTTCTCCTAACTGTTGTTATATATTTTACTCATGAATGTGTTAGAAACCTCTCAGATATTGTTATAATGATTGCTTAATGCATTCTATTGTCTTTTATATTTACTCACTTATTTGCCCTTTCTTGAGGTGTTCCTTTCTTCTTGCACTCTGGACTCCAATCCAGAATTAGTTTTTCTCAACCTAATGAACTGCTTTCAATATTACTTGTAGTTCAGTTTGCTTGCATCAATTTTTCTCAACTTTGTTTTCTTGACAATATGTTCATTCACCTTCATGTTTGAAGGAAATATTTTCACTGGATGTCAGGTTATTTCCCTGAATTTTAGTATTTTAAATGTGTTATATCAGCATATATGTAGTACTTAAGAAATTATTTGTTTTTTGAAAGTTTTATCCCTGTTTATTATTTAAACACATATGCTTTTAAATATGTAGTTTACCTTCCAAATTCAATTAAATTGGATTGGCAGTGATCTGAAGGAAGATAAAACTGAAAGGCCAAAGGAAAGGCTTGCTTGATATATAAAATATATATTAAAGGTGTGAAACATTTCTTAAAATAAATTTATAAAAGTATCTATTAGCAATCTTTGTTGAAAAGAATTTTCTTTGGGGCAATTAGGATTATATCATAAGCAAGCTGTAGAATAAGCAGGCAATTGAAATCATTTTGTAAATAGACTCTTACAATTATTCTAAAGACACTTAAACCAGACCCTGCTCGTTCCCTCTCTAAATATGTAATTAATAATTTTGTAAATTATAACATGTCACTATAAAAATAACTGAAGCACATTATCTGAATATTATGAGTGAACAAAATTTAAAGTAGGATAACAATTAAGGAGCAGACATAAAATCCCTTTCAGACACATTCAGATGTTGTAATGATTTATTTTCATCTTTACTATTTATATTCTCTGGTTAAATTTTCCTTTTTAACTGTAGAAATGATGTCAGATATTGCTACATAAATTTATGGTAAAGAAAGGAAGGTTTAACGAAATGCCATCTTAAAGGAACAATTTTTGTTTAATGGAATTGAACCATCATACTCACTCAAACATATTTTTGCTTAAGGGCGGGGTAATGTGAAGTGTACAACCAGGGATTTTGGAAAAAAAAAAAAATATATATATATATATATATAGTGTGTGTGTGTGTGTGTGTGTGTGTGGTACGCGGGCCTCTCACTGTTGTGGCCTCTCCCGTTGCGGAGCACAGGCTCCGGACGTGCAGGCTCAGCGGCCATGCCTCACGGTCCCACCCACTCCGTGGCAGGTGGGATCTTCGCAGACCGGGGCACAAGCCCGTGTCCCTGCATTGGCAGGCGGACTCTCAACCACTGTGCCACCAGAGGAGCCCTCAAAAATATTTTTAATAGACTCTAGATAGTAACATGTTTTGCTAAATGTATTTTGAATTATTTGTTCTGCATTTTTATCTGGAGTTGTCAAAGTGGGACAGGAATCAACAAATCAACAACAAGAAAAGTCAACACTAACTAAAAGTCTTTGGAAGAGACATAAATGTAAAGGCAGGATTTCAAAGCAGTAGGTCTCAGTGCTAGCTCTTCTGTCCCTAACATTAATTCTTATGGTTTTGTTGTTTGCTTAATTGCTTTTGTTTTTACCAGTTATCATACTTCAAGTGATTTTTTTTTAAATGAACATCTGTTTGGGTTATCCCACCTCATCTAAATTCTTCATTGAATTTTCTCATTTCTCAGGATAGAATTTATTCTTCTTTATAATTTTCTCTACCTCTCTGCCAAATTATTCATTTCTCATCCCCATACTATGCTGCTATGATAGCACTGCTCCCTTTCTTCATTTAATTAGTGACAACTCATCCTTTATTACCCAGTCCACAAATCACCTCTTCAGTCTCCCTGCCACTCCCACTGGCTGTCATGTTTTGCACCACAGGCACCCTATTTACAGCTCTATCACAGCACTATGTGACTGTATAAATAGTTATAAAAACGGTTTGTCTTTCAATTAGACAATTAGGTGAGGAATTTTAGTACAGGAACTGTACTTAGCTTTTAGGGCATTAGATAGTGGGTTCCTTAATTTTTTTTTTAACATCTTTATTGGAGTATAATTGCTTTACAATGTTGTGTTAGTTTCTGCTGTATAACAAAGTCAATCAGCTCTATGTATACATATATCCCCATATCTCCTCCTTCTTGCATCTCCCTCCCTCCCACCCTCCCTATCCCACCCCTCTAGGTGGTCACAAAGCACCGAGCTGATCTCCCTGTGCTATGCTGCTGCTTCCCACTAGCTATCGGTTTTACATTTGGTAGTGTATAAAAGTCAATGCCACTCTCTCACTTTGTCCTAGCTTACACTTCCCCCTCCCCATGTCCTCAAGTCCATTCTCTATGTCTACATCTTTATTCCTGTCCTGACCCTGGGTTCACCAGAACCTTTTTTTTGTTTGTTTTAAGATTCCATATATATGTGTCAGCATACGGTATTTGTTTTTCTCCTTCTGACTTACTTCACTCTGTATGACAGACTCTAGGTCCATCCACCTCACTACAAATAACTCAATTTTGTTTCCTTTTATGGCTGAGTATTATTCCATTGTATATATGTGCCACATCTTCTTTATCCATTCATCTATCGATGGACACTTCAGTTGCTTCTGTGTCCTGGCTATCTTAAGTTTTTTTCTTGAAATAACAATCTATTAAGATGTTACTCAGATACCATAAAATTCATACATTTAAAAGGTAAATCTCAGTGGTTTTTAATATATTTACAAATTTATAAAATCATCGCTGTTATCTAATTACAGAATAACATCATCACTCCAAGAAGAACCCCATACCTATGTGCATTCACCCTGTATTTCTCCTTTTCTTCAGCCCCAGGTAATGACTAATATACTTTCTGTTTCTATGTATTTACCCATTCTGGATATTTAATGTAAATCAAATCATACAATATGTAGCCTTTTGCGACTGGCTTCTTTCACTTAGCATTAAGTTTTCAAGGTTCAGCCATGCTGTAACATGTATCAGTGTGTCATTCCTTTTTGTTGCCAAATAATATTTCTTTAGGAGAACATATGCATTTTGTTTACCCATTCATCAGTTGATGGGCATTTCTGTTGTTTCCATTCTTTGTCTGTTATGAATAGTCATTCTATGGACATTTGTGTGCAACTTTTTGTGTAGATATTTTTCTTTCATTTCTCTTGGGTAGATACAGTAAGTCCCCTACAAACGAACGAGTTCCATTCCAAGAGCACGTTTGTAAATCCAATTTGTTTGTTAAGTCCAACAAAGTTAGTCTAGGTACCCAACTAATACAATTGGCTATATAGTACTGAACTGTAATAGGTTTATAATATTTTTCACACAAATAATACATAAAAACAAACAAGCACAAAAAATAAAGAAAAAAATTTTAATCTTATGGTATAGTACCTTGAAAAGTATAGTAGTACAGTACAACAGCTGGCTGGTAGCAGTACCAGCTACATCACTGCTGCTTTTATGCTTGCTTCTGGACATCCTGGGCTTGAAATAAATGTACTGTACTCTATACGGTACTGCACTGTAAAGTACACAAAAGCACAACCACTTGGAGAGGATGCACGCACATGACAATGTATGCCAGACACGTGAACTGACTTATGTGATTGGACATGTGAACACACGTCCACATCTTTGAAAGTTTGCAACTTGAAGGTTCATATGTAGGGAATTTATTATACCTAGGAGTGTTATGCCGAGTCACATGGAAATTCTACATTTAACATTTTGAGGAGCTGCCGAACTATTTTCCGAAGTGATTGAACCATTTTACAGTCCCATCAGCTATTTCTGAGAATTTTAATTACTCTCAATACTCACCAAAAAATTTTTTTTATGTATTAAAAAAATAGCCATCTTAGTGGGTATCAAGTGGTGTCCCCTTGTGGTTTTGATTTGCATTTCCCTAACGACTTATGATGTTGAGTTAATGTACCTATTTTCAATTTGTATTGTTTGTTTGGAAAAATGTATATTCATATCCTTTGCTCACTTTAAAAATTAGGTACCGTGTTTACATTTAAAAAATTCTTTGTACTTTTGAGTTCTAAGAGTTCTTTAAATATTCTGCATATAAGTTTCTTCCTAGATATAATATTTGCAAATATTTTATCTTATTCCTGTGTTGACTTTGCACTTTCTTAATGATATCTTTTCAGGAGAAAACATTTTTAATTTTGATGAAGTACACTATTATCTATTTCTTTTATCATTTGTGCTTTTGGTGTCATATCTAAGTCACTTCTTAATGAAAGAGCACAAATATTAACTCATTTTTTTCTAACAGTTTTATTGTTTTAGCATTTACATTTAGGCTTTTGATCCATTTTGAGTTAATTTTTGTGTATGGTATGAGGTCAGGGTCCAATTTCATTCTTTTTCATGTAGGTATCCAGTTATCAAACAGCATTTTTACTCCCAGTTTTACTGAGATATAGTTGACAATACAGCACTGTATGTTTAAAGTATATAGCTCAATGATTTGACTTACATATATCATGCAATGATTACCACAGTAAGTTTAGTGAATATTCATCATCTCATACAGGCACAAAATTTAAAAAGAAAAAGATTTCCTTGTGATGAGAACTCTTAGGATTTACTCTCTTAACAGTTTTCATATATAATATAAACAATGTTAATTATATAAATCATGTTGTACATTACATCCCTAGTCCTTATTTATCATATAACTGAAAGTTTGTACCTTTTGACCATTTTTATTCAATTCCCACAAGCACAATTTTTGAAACGACTATTCTTTCCATCATTGTATCGTCTTGCCCTCCGTATGGAATATCAGTTGATAATACATGTAGTGGTTCAGCTAAGATTCTCAATTCTACATGACTTTCCCTATGCTAGGATCACACAGTCTTGATTACTGTAAATTGTAACTAACTTTTACATCTAAGTAAATTTTGAAATGGTAAAGTGTGAGTCAACCAAATGTATTCTTATTTAAGTTCTTTTTTGGCTACTCTGGCTCACCTACATTTCTAGATGAATTTCAGGATCAGCTTGTCAATTACTGCAAATAAAAACTGGGATTTTGATAGGGATCACATGAGTTCTATAGATGAATTTTGAGAGGGTTGTCACCTTAATATGAAATCCTCTGATCCGTAAACATGGAAAGTTTAGTCATTTATTTAGATTTCCATTAACATCTTGCTACAGTGTCTTGTGGTTTGCAGAGTGAAAACCTTGCACTTTTTTGGTTAAATTTCATAATTGTTTTATTTACTTTAGGTGCTATTTTAAATGGAATTGCTTTACTTCATTTTCATATTATTATATGTGAGTATATATAAATACCATTGATTTTTGCATATTGATCTTGTATATTATAGCATTGTAGAACTTGTTTATTAGAGTTAGTAGGGGTTTTTTTTTGTGTGTGTGTGTATTCCTTTGGATTTACTCTATATAAGATGATATCCTCAATGGAAAGTGCTAGTTTAAATTTTTCCTTTTATCTTGATGCTTTTTATTTCTTATTTTTGCCTAATTCCCTCCCTACAACCTCCAGTAGAATGTTGAATAGAAATGGCAAGAAGGTCTTCATGTTTCTCCTTATTTTATTTCACCATTAAGTAGCATATTAGTTGTGGCTTCTTTGTTTGTTTTTGTAGATGCTTGTTGTCAAGTTGAGGAAGTTCTTTTCCATTCCTAATTTTTTTTTTTTTTTTGCGGTATGCGGGCCTCTCACTGTTGTGGCCTCTCCTGTTGCAGAGCACAGGCTCCAGACACGCAGGCTCAGTGGCCATGGCTCACGGGCCTAGCCGCTCTGCGGCTTCCCGGACCGGGGCACGAACCCGTGTCCCCTGCAGCGGCAGGCGGACTCTCAACCACTGCGCCACCAGGGAAGCCCTCCATTCCTAATTTTTTACATGTCTATCTTAATGGGTGTTAGTTTTCTCTAGTGCATTTATCTCTTGAGATGATCATGTGTTTTTTTATGTGCTTTATTCTCTTATATTTTATTATACTTCTAATATAATATGTTATATTACATTAATGATTTGGAAATGTTAACCCAAGCTTTTATTCCTGACATAAAATCCTAACTTGGTAAGGTTTTATAATCCTTTTTATATTTTACTAGGTTTGGTTTTCTAGGTTTGATTTTTTTTAGATTTCTAGTCTTTTTGTAAGGAATATTGGCCTGCAGTTTTGTTTTGTTTTGTTTTACTCTTGTGATATCTTGTTTTGGTATCACAGTAATAATGGCTGCACACAAAGAGTTAGTTTTTTTAATAGTTTGTGAAGAATTGATGTTAATTCTTTTTTAAAGTTTAATAGAACTCACCAATTAAGCCATCTGGGTTTTCTTTGTGCAGATAAGCATGAACCAAGTGCTGAAAAATAGTTCACTGGGCCTGGTTGAGAAATGTTAGCAGGAAAATAATACCAATAATAGCTAAAGCATTGTATTAATTATCTGTTGCTACATACCCAGTTAACCTGAAAACTTGATTGCTTGAAACAATAAACTTTCATTGTCTTACATTTTCTATCAATCAGTTATTTAAAAACAGCTTGGCTGGGTGTATGCATGGCTTCCTCCAATCAGAATATTGACAGAATGCCTCAGTTCTTTATTGGGTCCTGACATGAGGCTTTAGATCCTGGCCATTTGGGTCCTGCTGTAGGGTTGCCTGATTGTCCTCTTAACACAGCAGCTGGCTTCCCCCAGAGCAAGCGATCCAAAAAAGACAGAGATGAAAGCTATAATATCTCACGACCTAGCCTAAGAAACCAGAATTTGTTGTTTCTACAAACCTGCTCACTAGAAACAAATCACTGATTCTGGCTCTACTCAAGGGTTGGGGAATTAGGTTCTACCCAAGTGTCAAAGGATAATCAAATAATTTGAGTACATATTTTTTAAACCACTACACCTGTATTAAGCACCTGTTATGAGTCAGACATTTTTGAGCATCTTACCCTATAGTAACTTATTTAATCTTCACAAAATTCCTGTATTTAGATGTTAAAACTAGTTTAATTTTTCATATGGGGAGTCTGTCGAGAATATAATTAATTTTCAAAGTCACACAGTAACATCAAAGGTGCCAGGCAATCTGGCACCTGACCCTATGTGTTCACTGTTCAACCTCTTAAAGGTAACATCACCAAGTTTGCCTTCTAAGGCAAGAAAACTGTTAACAATATCTATGTACATGAATCGTCTACACACAGTGGGACATGCAGTGTCAGAGAAAGGAGGGCTACAGGTTCATTTTCATACAGTCACAGAGCATTACTCTATATACTGTTTATAAATTCTAGAAAGTTCAAGACTGCCCATAATTTAATTAAGGAGGATGACCTTTCTAATATTCATACAAACTTGGTTTTCATTGGTCAACAAAGAGACAGATCTGAATCTGACTCTGGCTTCAAGACTTTAAGACGTACAGCTGAGTAAAATTGAGATTTGCACGAATTATCAATCATTCTCATATTTGTCATACATTTGAGGAAGCAGCCCCAGCCATTTAAGAGGCAAAGGGAGACAATTTTGTCTCACTTGTAAATGAAAGAGTGTATAAACCAAGGCCTTCAGGACATGAAGAAATCTGAAAACAGTATTTCTACATAATAGATAATTGAATTTCAAAGCATATAAATCTGTGAACAGAATATGAGCCTCTTAGAAATTTGTTTGTGGTTTGACTGTCAGCTCAGATTTGTAAAGCATTCTTCTTTGAAGACATGGTTTTTACTAAGAATTTTTCTATTCATTCAAACTCTTCTGGTTTTGAAATGAAATGAGTCTCTGTTATGAAAATGAAGTGTCATAATTTTTAATCAGTAGAGAT